AATCCTGTGTATAGTTGGAAAAAGAGAAAACAGAGAGAGGATTTCTTAATCGCCTTGGCACAGAGATGACACATTACTTCCACTCACATACGAATGGAGAGAACTAGTGACACAGCTATGGCCGGATGCAAGAGGGTCTGGGAAATATAATCTCTAGTTGGACATCTGCTGCCCAGTGATATCTTCATACTAGGAAAGGGAAGCACAGAATTTTAGTGCAGAGATGATGTTTCTGGCACATCAAGGGAGGTGAGAAATCTTCAGCCTATCACACATTTCAAGCCCATATATGTGATGGCCAGAACGCAAAGACAGTGGAGGTGTCTTCTTTAAGGAGAGGAATCTGACAGTTTAATATTCCTGGCTTCTGGTGAGTTTCTGCCAACAGAATGGACCACAGAGAGAGCGAAATGGCTAGAGAAAGAGCAAGATGCATTTCCACTGGCATGAAATAAGACCTTGTGGGTCAAAGTGGATTCAACTTCATTGAAGGAGGCTGAGCTTGGGCTGATTTGAAAGGGCCTAGCTCAAAATACGTTCTGCTAGGGTGAGAAGACCCCAGGAGAAAGAGTCTACATGGGGTAGTGCGAGATAGAGGAAGAGAGAAGGAACCTAGTAAGTCATCTGGAGATCAACCAGCATCAATTAAGTAAATAGCTTTTGTTCTTTTACCTGTCATCCTGCCTCATCCTGCAACCTGAAGGAGCCATATTCCATGATCACAGGAGGAAAGAAGGTGGAGAATGAGGTGGAAAAGAACAGCAGTCTGCCTGAGCCTGAGGATGGGGTGCCAGAGAGGCAGGGTCAGGAGAAGCCTTCAATTGCATGTGAGAGGAAAGTGTTGATTGATTTTGGATTTCTGTAAATACTTCAAAATGAGACTCTTCTGGCACTGGGAACCACCCTGAGATAGCAACAGGGGTAGAGAAAGGCAGATCCTTCACTGGTTTGGACAGCAGTAGTGGAGAAAATAAACTTTTCAGATTGCACTCCACCAAATTTAGTTCATCCAGTGTACCTGTTATTGTGACAATAGGTGACTGAGATAAATTTAGACAGTGATAAGTCTATGAACAAAAATAGTCTAGAGTGATATTGAGGTGGGCTTGAAACTGGGGCAGTGCACCCAGCTAGAAACACTAGCAAATGCACAAGTCTTCCAGACAAAATAAGCTTAGTGGGAAGGGACCCAGCAGGAAGGAGCCCAGGCTGTCCAGGAGCAGAGAAAAGGCTTGGGAGGCTGGAGTTCAGACATAAAATGTAGGGGGCAGGGAGTGGTGACTTGTGATCAGAGCTGTTGGTGGGGCTAGATTTTATAGGGTCTCCAAGGCAAGAGAAGAGATTTTAGCCCACATGCAGTTTAGCCGCTATAGAGTGTAAAGAAGGAAATGAATGACTTGATACAATTTATGTTTTTAAACCTCTCAAAATGTTCCTTCTATTGTAAGAAAATAAATATATAAATTGTATATAAATACTAAAAATATTTTATCTTTGTTTTAAAATGTATATAGGTATCCACATTGCCTCTGAAAATATTTATAACTTGCAAAATTCAATACACCTATTTATACATGTTTTAAAGTAGTATTCCAATCTTACATGAGTATTCGAATTTTTCCTTATTCTAAATTCCAGCATCTTGTGAATGTCCTTTCTGTTTTAAAATTGTTACTTATATCACAGGATTAAATATGCAAAAGTTAATCCTTTTACAAAGGAATCTGAGAAATTCAAGCAATTTCTTTAAACAGCCTTTAGCTGGCTACAATATTCCTTAAGTACAAGCAAGAGAAAAATATAGGATACCTTATAAAGGAATGCCACCCGTTGTTGAATCTAAAAGAGTCCATGTGAAGATGAAAGACAGCTTTAGAAGTCACTATGTGCAGTGATCACTATTTTACTTGTGTTTCAAAAAAAAAAAAGTCAAATCTGATTTATGTTTAATTTTAAACACAATTTAACCTTAAAAGCCTGCTCATCAAAGTGGAGGAATATGCCATGTGGAAGACAGAAACTAGCCAAATATTCAATATTTTTTATACATATTCACAGAGATTCAACTGACTTTGTACTTCTTGTTGAATATGAGTTATTTATCACAAAATGGAATGGAGAGGTGGCATGACACCTTAGACAACAAGACTGTTAATCATTTTTGTAGATGTAATTTTCTTTATCTGTTTTTTTTGTTATTTGCTCAAAATCTTTATGAATTTCTGGAATTGTATAGATAACATAAGGGAGGTATTCCAAGAATAAACTTATAAGTTTTGATCATTTCATAAAATGATGGATGATAAAAATTTTTTCTAACTTACTAAACATATCAAATAATTAAAAAATATCTAATTTTATAGACTTAAGAAGTATTGATACTGAAAATATTAATCTCACCTAAGGTATTTTGACAATATTTTGGCAGGAGGATACCTAAAATACAAATTATCCATATAATATCATTATTTTCAAGGTACCATTTAGGGATTTTTATCTATTTAAACTTGGAAGAAAATAATATTCAAACCATAATGAAATTTAGAAATTATTTTTATAACATTCTAGTTAAATTTGAAATATTTTCTACAATACTAGAAATACAGCACAGTTAATTGGAAACTTAAAGCTTTCGACTATAATGAAACATTCATTTCTATTGAGTCTTGCTATTTTCAAGACTCCAGAGAATTAGATTCCAGGGATTTTCAAGAGATTGCAGTGCTGGTAGTGCTAAGCATTTGCTGATTGCTGTCTGGAAGGCTGCTCTGTGAAGGATTTTGAGGATGTGTTCATATCTACTAGATAAAAGTGAATTGATCAGTTGGTGATATTTGCCCTGGAAGTGGCAAAGGACGCCAAGGAGGAACAGTCACATAAGTGCCCTGTAGCTTCCATCTTCACTTTCTACTCTTAAATTTAGCCAACCTTAGAATGTTATGACACCTTTGTAACATGAGGGCATGCTCCTGTAAGATGGGCTCTAGTTCACAGAGAAATTTTGTTTTATTTTGTGTTCAACGCTTATATGTGATGATAAGATCTAAAGGAGTTCTATATTCTAGTATTTTATTCCTCTTTAGACCAGTGTCTAAATGTCTAATAGGTAGGTCTTAACATGTGAATGGGTCAAAAATAGCATTGTTTTTAAGAAATAGAATAGAATAAATGGTAATAGAAAGTATCAGAGAACATCATTTGAGGTAAAAGCAGGGATTGTTTTGTGAAACTTTTGATGTGTATATATGAACCAGATAGTAATATAAAATGAATTATTCTGGGTTGTGGTTAAAATATTTCGAAAATTGGTAGTTTAGATCCCAGCGTTTTTATTTCTGTGAAGAAGCTGTAGCATTTTCTTGAACTGATACTTATCTTCTCTGAAAAATACCTGAGTAGTAGACCAGGAGAAATGTGTAGGCCAAAATGCCTCATTTCAATTTTTTGTCTTAAGCTCTTGGCAAAGTTTCTAGATTAATATATAGTGGATGTCATTTGTTATGCTGGCTTATTATTTTGCTTTGGTTGTTGATTTGTTTGACCATTGGAAACTTCTTTGGAGGCCAAGTCCTATACCAGCTTTATAAAATATGCCAGGTTGCCTAGGAAATTAGTCATTGTTCAGTATTTTACATTTTATGTTTTTATTTGTCTTCTTTATAATTATGAGCATTAAGTATTTTGTTTTAGAAATTTAGATGACTGTTGTAAGAATCAATGATTCTAGTATCTACTGAAACTATTGTAGATGGCTATATTCCAGTGCATTTATAATTAAAACTGATTTCTAATAAATTATATCACTCTAATCTAATTGTTAATTTGTATACATCCTCGATTTCCATCTTTCCTCACCAGATGTTTACCACACAAAATGCTATTTGCATTCCTCTAAAATGTAGCATCTACCCACTCATTTATTTATTGCAGAAGTGATGAAGCATATGTTCTATGAGGTAGGTCGTCTGAAACAGCCATGGACAAAGCTGTGATGTCTTTCTTGCAAATGTGTCCCACCAGCCTAATATTAAAGTTTTTTTGTCACCCCTCTGTAATATGACTGATAAATTTCAAAATAGCTCCATGTCCTAAAGTATATCCATCACCAAGCTTGATTTATGACTGAAATGTTCAACATTTTCCATTTCTTTAGGTTAAGACATTTAGGCAACTGGTCTTTGTTAAAATTGAGATATGTCCTGTCTACTAATTATCTTTACTACATTTGCTTCAGTTAAAGTCTTTTGATATAGTGGAGATCATGGCTATAATGGAATGAAATGTAAGTTATTAGCCAGGTTGAGTCAGGATGAGAATCAGGAAATGTTTTGGAATGTGAAGAGTGCCTTCTGGGGCTAAGTGATGGAACTTGGGAGGCAGGACAGGTGAAACAGGAATGGAAGGAAGAAGTCTAAACGGAAAAGTAGATTTCTTAATTTGACTGCTTAGTTTAGGTTGTCCCTACTACTTAATGCTAATGTACAGTGCTACTTAAAGTGTATCCTCTGGATCAGCAGCAGCATCATGTGGGATCCATCAAGAAATATAAATTTAAGACCCCGTCTCAGATCTACCAAATCAGAATCTCTGGGATGGCAAGAGAGGGAGCGCAGGAATCTGTGTTTTAGCGGACTCTTCAGGTGATTCTTATGTGTGATAAACTTTAGGTACTATGGCTAGAGTAAACACTGAAAATAGTAATAATAGTACTGGTGAAAAATATGTTTTAAATGTAATTTACTAATAGTTTTCTTTGCATTTGGTTACATGGATCTCTGTGTAGCATTTGCTGTTGGAAAAAAAATGTTATCATTTACCAAGACTAATCAAGTGACATATATAAGGGATTAAAACTGGTGAGATATATTCAATAGTGAATCAAGGGGAAAAGAAACAAATGGCCTTATCCTATATAATAATTTGCTTTATGTTTTCTTCCATAGCACAATGACTCAACGTTGACACTAAAAGCTGATTATATATTTGTTCTATAATTCTAGGACACCATTTGCATTGAAATACCTCTCTCTAATCCAAAAGATAGAATTGTTAACTTAGATGTAAAATTCACAAGTCCTGCACTTGATGGAGATGAGAAAGTTACGCTGAATCCACTAGAATGTACCAGTTATGTTGTACAGTATTCTCCAGCAACTACAGGCTATAGAAATGAAAGGTATGGTTTAAGTGTGGCATTATATTTCATTGTTGATCCTTAGAAATTAGGCTTTTAAAATTGATTTTTTTCTTTGGCTATAATAATTAAAATTGCACTTGCTCATAGTTTTAGCTTTTTTTAAATACTATTCCCTGATAAAATATACCTATTTAGAGTTAGCTTTTATTTGATGCAGTGTACAAATATTATTTATTTGAATATCAGATTAAATAATTCCTAAATTTCTCCCTTTACCTTGTCTTTCACTTCACTTTTTACTAAGGAAATCATTATGGTTGCAAAACCCAAACCAAATAAAAACAATTCCACTAGGACTGGGGATTAAACTTTCAATTTCCTTGATGAAAATTAATTTATGTATTTTTGATTGTAAATTAAATAAAAATTATTCACTCGAAGGATATAGAGAAAATTAAAGTAAGGAAGTTGTACTATGCTGAAAATGTACACACACACACACAAATATTAGGGTAATGACAAGTGTTCCTATAAAATAATTGTGAAAACCTTTCTTTGCAATATATATTCGTATACATGCACACACAAAAACAAAGCCTCTATGTTCATAATTAACTCAATAACTTATTAAAATAATTTATTTTATTTCCAAAGTAATATTCAACTTATTTATTATAATTTTAAAGACTATAATTGACTTAGTATTTGTGTGTACAATGCATTCCATTATTATACTCCATGCAAATGTCCTTTGCTAGTTTATGTGCTATTTCAGTTAGTATATTTCTTTTTTTTAAATTAATTAATTTATTTTAATAGACAAGTAAAATTGTATCTATGGTGTACAACATGATGTTTTTAAATAAGTATACATTGTGGAATGGCTAAATAAAGCTAATTAATGTACGCATTATCTCATGCACTTATTATGTGTGGTGAGAATACTTAAAATCTACTCTCTCAGTGATTTTCAATATACAATACATTGTTGTTAACTATAGTAACCATGTCCTAAGATAAATCTCTTGAATTTATTCCTCCTGTCTAACTGAAATTGTGTACACTTTGTCCAACCTCCCCACAATCTCTGTGCCACCTTCTCCTACCACCTCCACTAGCCCCTGGTAACCACCATTCTTCTCTCTGCTTCTGAGTTCAACTTTTTAAAATTCCATATAGAAGTGAGGTCATATGGTATTTGTCTTTCTGTGCCTGGCTTATTTCATTTAGCAGAATGTCTTTCAGACTAATTCTTATTGGTGCTTCTAGCACAGTATCCTGTAATAGAATCCAAGTAATTGTTATTTTAATGAATAGGTGAATAAATGAATATATCTGTGAAATTTTAAAGGATAAAAATATTATGATGTGAAGCATGAAAAGAAGAACATAGTATATTATAAAAGACACTATTTTGATAGATTACCATTAGAAATGTGGGCTAGTTTCATCACCCAATGTGACTGTACAGGTTTTGTGAGCCCAGACTGAATCTTGAATTTTCTTTATCAGCATATACCTTGTATTAAAAATCATAATCTTGGCTGATACTTTACTGCCTACTTCGTTATCATCATTGGGACTTGTATTTTACATATATGAACACATAAAATTCTCACAGCAACTGTAAGAGGTAGGACTGATTCCTCCTATATTATAAATGGTGAATTAATTTGAAGCTCAAAAAATTAAGCGACTTGTTCAAGGCTGCGCAAATAAAAGATAACAGAGCTGAACCAGCCCAGTTATACTTTTAGACTGCCACAAGCTGTCTCCCCCGGAGCTGAGAACATGCTGGTTATAAAGAAAGCTCACCAGAACTGCATGTCACTTGATAGCTTTCACATGAATATACACATTCATTCAACTCAACAAACTAAATTTGCCTTAATCTCAGTTAAAAAGCAGAGCTTTTCCTGTTATAGCTCCTGCAAGACATTTAAAATACTCATGTTTAAACATTTTCATTGATTAAATAGGCATTTACTAAACAGATATTAATGATAACAACACTGTTTTCTTGATTAAATGAAGTGATTTTCTTACCAAAAAATGAAAAATTTAAAAATACGTCTACAATAAAAGTAGAATGAGTCACAGAGCAGTTGTCGAATTGTTGAAATCAACTATACCAATTTATGATATATTTTTTTCTGCCAAA